ATTTACATGTATATCCGTTAAGACCGTAGATATGGAGCTGATACGTTACCAGGGCCAAAACAACTCATTTTCAAGATCAAACAAGCCTAAAGCAGGTAAACCTCCCATTTTGCTAATTTTTGTGTGTTATAGTCCATGAAATTTTTGGTGATCCGAGATTTTGACGTGATTTTTTCCAAAAATTTACATGGACATACGTTAAGACCTTATCTTTGGAGCTCGCTCGTCACCACGGCAAAATGACCCGTTTTCAAGGTCAAACGAGCCCAGAGCAGCTAAACCATTCAGTTTGTCAATTTTTGTGTGCTATAGTCCACCATATTTTTTGGTGATCCGAAATTTTGACGTGATTTTTGTTGAAAATTTACATGGACGTCTATTAAGATCTGATATATGTAGCCAGTGGGTTATCACAGCCAAAACGGCCAATTTAGAGGTCAAATGAGCCCTGAAGTAGGTAAACTCCAAATTTTGCCAATGTGTTATAGTCCACCATCTTTTTTGGTGATCCGGAACTCCGATGTTTTTTTAACCAAAAATTTACATGTACGTCCATTAAGACCTTAGCTATAGATTCGGTTGGTCACCACGACAAGAATGACTCATTTTCAAGGTCAAACGAGCCCAGAGCACGTTAACCCCTTGTTTTGCCGATTTTCATGTGCTATAGTCCATGAGATTTTTGGTGATCCAGAATTTCGACGTGATTGTTGCCGAAAATTTACATGGGTGACTGTTAAGACCTTGTCTGTGGAGCCAGTTGGTCACCACGACAAAAACGACCCATTTTCAAGGTCAAACGAGCCCTAGAGCAGGTAAACCCCATTTTGTTGATTTTTGTGCTATAGTCCACCATCTCTTTTAGTGATCTGGAATTCCGACGTGATTTTTACCAAAAATTTACATGGATGTCTGTTAAGACCTTATCTAGGAGCTAGTTGGTCATCATGGTCAAAACGGTCCATTTTAGAGGTCAAACGAGCCCTCGAGCAGGTAAACCTTCAATTTCGTCAACTGTCGTGTGCTAGTCCACCATTTTTTTTGTGTCCAGAATTTCGATATTTTTTTGGTCGAAAATTTAAATATACATCCGTTAAGACTTTAGCTACGTACTCGGGTTGTCACCACAGTCAAAACGATCCATTTTCAAGGTCAAACGATCCCCAAAGAAGATAAACCCCCTATTTTATCGATTTTTCTGTGCTATAAAAATATAAATATAAAAAAGAAGAGCACAACATAAAATAATAAAATTTATATAATTTGAAAATTTCAAGTAAACATAAATAGAGGCCAAAGACCGTAAAATTATTATATATATGAACATAAATAGAGGCCAAAGACCGTTAAATTATTATATATATGAACATAAATAGAGGGCAAAGACAGTTAAATTATTATATATATGAACATGGCAATTATGTCAAAAATCAAAAGGTAAAATAGAAAATCAAATATTACAATCGAATTCGTCGTATCACATAAAGTAAAGTTTAAATAACTATTATATTCAAGAATAATATAACTATTATAATCACATAAAGTAAAATTTAAATATAGTTAAAGAATGACAAATGTGAATTCTCTAGAAAGTCTCCAAAAAAAATTTAAACATATTGAAATTAATTAAATTGTTTTTTTTAAAAAAGTAATTATTAAGTGACTTTTTTTTGCAAATTATAAATTTAACGATAATTATTATCGTATGCTTCTCGATATTATTATTACTTGTTTATTTTACATTATCGTATTGTTTCTATTCTTTTTTGTTTTTATATTTTTATTGTTGATTTTTTAAAAATTTAATTTTAACCTTCTAGAAACTGACACGTGTCATACCTTACTGTATTTTCCATAAATCCTCACTTAAAAATTGGAGATAGTAAAACCTCACGGACTCCGCCATCAAAACGCTATCGTATTCCAATATGCCAGCCGAAGAACACCGTAACGCCTCGCCGGCGGCGCCGCATCCACCGACGGACACGGCAGAAGAAGCTATCTGGTTATGGACACAGATCAAAGCAGAAGCTCGGCGGGATGCAGAAGCTGAACCGGCATTAGCAAGCTATTTGTACTCAACTATACTATCTCACTCTTCGCTTGAGCGTTCACTCTCTTTTCATTTGGGGAACAAGCTTTGTTCTTCAACGCTTCTATCTACTCTTCTCTACGATCTGTTCCTCAATAATTTCTCCTCTGATCCTGATCTACGCGCCGCGGCATCCGCTGACCTACTCGCCGCTCGCTACCGTGACCCAGCCTGTGTTTCCTTCTCTCATTGTTTGCTTAATTACAAAGGCTTCCTTGCTTGTCAGGTTTGTATGTTGTAACTACTCGTTCCATCTATTTTTACTTATCCAGTATCGACTTACTTGGCCTATCGAGCAATAAATGAAATGACAAGTATAATAAATTTATGTATCGTGAAATGACTGTAGTTAATAATACGATAAACTATTAGTAACTATGTCCTTTTTAGTATATTGTGATACTCTGAAATTGTGAAAAAATAGGGTTTATGTTAAATTTTTCTGGAAAGATGGGAACTTTAGAGTATGAAAAGATGAATTTTTGGGGGGTTTGTTTGAAAAATTGATGATTGAAGTGTGGGAGCTAAGATTTTCGACAAGGGAATTCAAAATATAGAGAAGTAAATGCACAAGGCCTACGGGATTCAGTAACTAGAACAACAACGTACCTAGTGTAATTCCATTTGTGGGGTTTGGGAAGGGCAAGATATATGCAAACGCAAGATCGTATCGTACCTTTGCAGGGTTGAGAGTCTATTTCTAATAGACCATCGGCTTGACATATGAGAAAAGATATATCTACTATTTATGCATGAAGTATATTATTTACATACAAAATAGTTTTGACCTTGTGCATACTGTGAAATTTTTGGTGATGAATTCCCTTGCAGCATCCTAGCTCCGCCCTGGTCAATGTTCCAATTGTTTCCTTGGAAGTTATACCAAACAAAAGATTGACAGAGGATGTTAGAAGTATATGGCATATGCCAATCTACTTGAATGTGAAACTGATAATATGACCTTTTCACTTTGGAATTTGACAATGTTCAAGACTTAGTTGGTGCTATACTACTATGTTATAACGATAGGTACATTTGTTAAGATATTACTTTAGCAAGGTAGTGGAATTAGATCTTTCTTTGGATGTAGACTCGGTATGAATTAGGATAACTATTGAGTTGAAGTTGAGAGAGTACTTGAAGTTGATGTTGGAAAAAGATAGTGGAAGACTTGAAGTTAGTCTTTATGTTTCGAAATGAAATTCATTTGGAAAGAAAGTTTGTGAATGTTGTGAGTAGAAGTCAAACACTTGAATTGCCTTGCTTCTATAATAAACTTTCAAACCACTACTACAAGATTTTATTTATTGTTCAAATAAGACTTCAAGGCCAAACTACTATTTGTAAATAATTATGTCATGTCTGACCGGGCTAAAATGGTGAAAGTGTGTTCTGCAATGGAGCCAAGGGCTGTGATATTGTTTGCTCAGTAGTCTCTAGTATCTGGTTGGTAGGTATGCTTTGAAAGTAGTATAAAGATAAAAGGCTGCCAGTTTGGTGGTCTATACCATTCCTTGTTGTTTCTTTTCTATCCCAATCCATTTTGAGATAAGCAGCTAATGAAACATCGACCCCCCCGGATTTTCCTGTTTATTTGTGTCAGAAGGCCCGCACACACCTATATACGCGGATGTAAATGAATGTATGCAATGATCTTTCCTTTTCTGTTAAACAATGTTCATTAGCTATCATGTGTTGTATTGGCTCTCTGCTGACAATGAAATAACTGTACAGATGCATTTGGACAGTTCATATTCTAATTGAAAAGAAAAAGTATATTTTTCCTTTGGTTAACGAGTGTGAGATGCTTTTTTATTTCAATAAAATGAGTAGCTATTAGCATCTCATGGAAATCGCATATTTACAGATTGCCTGTATTTCAATAGCAAGTCAAGGGGCTTACTTTTCACTTCATATCACAGACTCTCTTCAAATGGTAGTATTAGGTTTTAACAATATAATGTTTCTATTTTCAGGCACATCGAGTAGCTCACAAACTTTGGACTCAATCCCGAAGGCCACTTGCACTTGCACTTCAATCCCGAATCTCTGATGTTTTTGCTGTTGACATTCATCCAGCTGCCAAAATCGGAAAAGGCATCCTCTTCGACCATGCAACAGGAGTGGTTGTTGGTGAAACTGCAGTTATTGGAAACAATGTGTCGATTCTTCACCATGTAACCTTAGGAGGAACTGGTAAGTTTGGTGGTGACCGACACCCTAAGATTGGTGACGGAGTCCTCATAGGTGCAGGTGCCACGATATTAGGCAACATAAATATCGGTGAGGGAGCCAAGATTGGCGCTGGATCAGTGGTTCTGATTGACGTGCCACCACGAACAACTGCAGTTGGAAATCCAGCTAGGTTGGTGGGAGGGAAAGAACAGCCAACTAAGCACGAGGAATGTCCCGGAGAGAGTATGGACCATACATCTTTCATATCTGGATGGTCTGATTACATCATCTGACTTGCATATCATGTATGATACATTTGCCAAATGAACTAAGAAGTCGTCGTCTCAGAACATAAACGAGATGACAGGTTCGATCTTACTGCTTCTGACAGTCTATAACGAGAAGATCTTTTATCTATCTACTCTAAAAGATTATTCTTCTGCTTTTCTGTACTTTAGCATACTGTGAAAGTTGAAGATATCCAATATGGATGAATAAAAAGTATAGTGTTCCTGGAATTGAGTAATATTTATTCACAGTAGAGTTCACTACATGTAACCAGTTGGTAAGATATCAGACTGTACATTAGTATATGATTTTGCTGGAGAAAATACTTGCATTGTTTGATTTCTCCACTTCTATGCATTGCCTTTGCATACGGAACACATTTTATTATCGATGAGAACTAAAGAATATCATCAAGAACTTTTATCTGCTTAAGAACAGACACTTGAACACACAAATATGTCCTACTCCTCATAACTCGCCCGTACTTGTCAATCAATGTATAAGATGCCAGAATGAGGCATTAGTTTACAGCAAGTTGTTAATATACATTTTGCAGTGCAACTTCGTATACAGATGAATTTATACCAGAGAATTCATAGCCAACCCCAACTAGTTTGGGATTAAGGGAATATTATCTGATAGCTCTCTGGTAACAACTTATTGTAAAGAAGAATTATGCCTATATTAAAGAATGAAAATTTACAAACTTTAGTAGCTCTCAAGATGGCCCCGAAATTGTACTTGACAATCGCTGAGCCTGAAGAAGATTGTTAGGAGTGCAGGGTCGATGGTTGACTATCTCTGTTACTAGTGACGACTTCTACAACAGCCTCATCTCGTGATGGTACTCTCAGGTACGCTTTCATCAAATCGTAAACAGTAAACCCAATCGCAACAGATGGTACAACCTAATGTTCAAGCATAGTATAGTGATCAGTTAATATAACAGATACAAATGGCAATAAAGGCCATTTCTTACCTTCAGATAATTGAGGCTGAGCCCGGAAAACAGTTGTTTCCATCCATGTTTTTGTAAAATCATAACAAGAGTATCTGCTGTTCCTTTCAGTTCGTGGCTGTTAGATGCTGAGAGTCTCTGGACCTGAAATGTGTTCATTCTAACTGTAAGTTCTTCACAAGAACAGGTAATCAACTTACGCGATCTCTCACTAAATTACCTGCATTTGCCGCCTAACCACATCTAGAGGATAAGTGAAAGTTTGTCCTAGAAGTCCTGCTACAGATCCACAAGCTAGTTTTATCGTGATATCATTCTTCCGCTCCTTAGGGACATGGCTCTTCATTGTCTCGTAGAAGTAAAATTTCAGCCCAGCATAGGGGAAGATTCCATAGAGTGACGGAGCTGGAATGCAAGATACACACATCACGTGAGAAGAGTTGCAAGTTAACAGTAACATACAAGTATCGCGATGCACAAAACACTTTCATACCAACTCCACGGTATAGTCCCTTTATTCCAGCTTCCTTGTATGTCTTTGAAAAACAATCCTTTATTCCCTTGTAAACTTGTTCACCAGCAACAATCCCTTGTATATTCAACTTTTGGGATCCAACTACCTAGCTGATCATATGTGAATCAGTCTTCCATTGTTCACAGTGACATACATTCAATTTAAGAAGATCAAACGAGCATAATCGTTATGTATCTCCTCACCTGGTAAGCCAGTTTAGTTCGAACTAAATCAAGTGGATAGGTAAAAAGTACAGCAGTTCCACCAGCAAACGATCCTGCAACGAGATCAAGAATGGGACCTCTACCCACTCCAGGAATTCCATCTATAATCCAGCGGCGATACTCTTCATAGGCCATATAGTGCAATGCTGCATAAGGGACGATTCGAGCAACACTAGCTCCATTTCCCCTGAAGAAGAGTTCCACCCAATAATACATGTAAACTTATAGAACTTTTAACTCATCTAAACAGTTAAAATCGAAGGGAGAGAGCATTGCATTTTGCACCTGAAAAAACCAAGAGTTCCTTCTGTCTTGGCAATCTTTGTAAAGGATCCTATCAACCCCAAACTTCGATATTCAACTTGTCTAGTCTAAGAAAAAAGAAAATCAAACATAAAGCCTTCAATCCTTAAGCAACATAATAGTTAGTTGTTAGAACACTTGGTCTAACCACAACAACAACAACAACGTACCTAGTGTAATCCCAAGTTTGCGTATAACGAAAAAAGAAAAGATTCAAGGAAAGGTGACGGTGTTCATGTCATAGTAATATGACTTTTGAGGTTCTTCATGATTCTGATAGTGCAAAGAAGAATATTTTCATCCATAAGCTCCACTAGTGAATAGATAGATCATGGAAATGCAAAAATGGTGTAACATAGATCACAGTATTTTACAACTAAGATTGGTGGATGATCTCATCAAAGAGAGCTAACTAAGCCTCTGAGTTCATCCTCTAAGAACATCAAGCAAGATCATATTCTGAGAAAAAAATGCATTCGAGTGTTAATCATCCTCGACAATCAATGCAACAACAACAACATAACCAAGATAGAGTGTCTGCAGACCTTACCCCTACCTTGGAAGGTAGAGAAGGTTGTTTCCGACAGACTCTTAGCTCAAGTGAAACCATTACAAAGCAGCTCGAGAAACAAAAACAACAAGACTAGAGAGGCCAAGACCTCTCAAGAACATCAACAAAGATCATATTTTGAGACAAAGGCAATTGTTAACCATCTTCCATGATCAATGCATCAACCCAAATTGTCTCATTTAACATAAAAACACTCTAAGAAAACCAAATTCTCTACAAAATCAGCTCAAAAGAACGAAAAACAACAGGACTGAAGAAGCCAAGACCTCTCAAGAACATCAACAAAGATCATATTTTGAGACAAGCAATTGTTAACCATCCTCCAAGATCAATACATCAACCCAAATTGTCTCATTTAACATAAAAACACTCTAAGAAAATTAAATTCTCTACAAAATCAGCTCGAAAAAACGAAAAACAACAGGACTAAAGAAGCCAAGACCTCTCAAGAACATCAACAAAGATCATATTTTGGATAAAAATGCAATTGTTAACCATCCTCCATGATCAATGCATCAACTCAAACAGTCTCATTTAACATATCACACTCTAAAACCCAAATTCACAACAAAATCATTATCAAACTCATCCAAAATCGAAAAAAAGCTAAAAACTTTCAACCCCATCAAGCAAAATTGAACCATAAACTCAAAAGAAAAAAAAAACCCAACAATACCTGAAACAAGATCTTGATACGTTCAAGTGGTGCAACTGCAGACTTAGCAAAACCACCAGCTACACCACCAGCTATCAATTCTTTAGCAAACAAAGGCATCCCTTCTATAACCCCATCCCAAACCTCCCTTTCATCTCTTTGTTTTGCCATTTGAAAAAAAAAAATAAGAAAACCCCTTTTGAAAACAACACAAAATTGAGAAAGGAGAGACTAATTGGGTCTCTCCCTCTCTCCACACAAATCTTGAACAACTCCCAAAAGGGAAAAAGTTCAATAAAGAAGGCAAATTCAAGATTTTTAATGGAGTCTTTACTTCTGTAGGCAAAAATTGATTTTGGCTGCTAAAGAAACAGCCAATTGATGAAACTTGCTGCTGTTTGACTATTTACAAGTCACCAAATGCCAGTTATTATAGGTTTCGAGTTCGAGTTTTGACAGAAGTTGATTTTTGTTTTTGTTGCAAAGAATTTGAAATATCAATAAATTATTTTTTTTTTAAAAAAATACGAGATATCTAAGTTATATAAGTAGATATTTTTAAGCAATACGAATTTAGTGAAATTTTAATATAAATATTTGATATGATACGAATTTATAACGATAGCAAGTTATTTTCATTTTTTAATCATATTCTTATTAATATTATATGTTTATCTAAAAGTCTTTAATAAAAATAATTGTGTAAATTTTTAATCAATTACTAATTATAATATAAACTATTTTCTTATATGTTGTTCGATATTTTGTTAGTCATACGAATCATTAGAGACGGATTTAAAATTTAAAATGTAGAGACTCCTATGACGAATTCAAGTCAACATAAAATAATGATTGAGTTCACATTTAATTTTTTGAATAATAAATTTTAATAAAAGTAATTGTTTTTAGATTCGTCGTCACGATGAACCTTCTATCAATATTATAATTATTTTATGCGAATTCTATATAGAATTATTCTTTTCTAATCCCTAGCAATTAGCCCTTTATAGCAAAAGGCATCAAATTAAATTTAATTACTTGATTTGGTTTAAATAATAGCATAATTTCGTTTTATACTTATACTTGTTAATTATATTCTTTTCCAAATTAGTACGTAATGTATATAAGAAAAAAGAAATTAAATTGGGTATATAAATATGTTTTCAAACTCTATAATAAGGTATGATATAATTGCTTTTTTAGGATTCGTTTGATTTAAGATTCAATTGATTTGAAATTATGTTTTGATATGTAATTTAAATTTTAAAAAAGTATATTCTTTTTTCATATGAAACAAATATACATGATGTTATAACGTTTATAAAATAAGATATCAGAATATCTTAATACATTGTATTGATAAATCATATATCTTCATCTACCTTTCATAAAAAAAATGTTTGTTATTACATGATGTTACAATGTTTCAGATATATATAATTTTACAAAGATCTATTGATTAAAAAAAACAATAGTAATATTTAACTATTATTTAATATAATATGTTCACGTGGTACAAATAATTTATTCACATCAAACATGAGTCGTTTTATTACAAAATATAATATAAGTCACGTTTACATTCTTTAAAAAAAATCCTATTTTTAGAAGAATTTGAAATATAAAAGTATTATTTGAAATTTTGTATTGATTTCATAATTTTTAATTAAAATTTAAAATTTAAATCCCAAATATTATAATCAAATGCCAACTTAATTAAATTAACATAGTCAACCTCATGAATGGGAACTTCTGTCATTCTTTGATGATAAAAAGATTTGATTCCCTCTGTATTTTATTTTATTCTTGTTTAAATTATTTTAAAGTTTGCATATTAAATTGTAAGTTGTAATGGTTCTTTATTCTTTCTTTTTTCCAGCTAATATTCTCTGAAGGTCCAAAAGTATTTAAGATTAATTAAAAGTAATTCTCATTTTAGTTTAATTTTTTTAAAGAAATAGTTTTTGGGAAAAATAATAGAATGTATGATGAATGAATTTTTCATAATAGAATATCTCTAACTTTTGGAATGACAAATAGGAATTAAAATTTACCACCAAAAAATAGAAATTTAAGATTATTTATCGTGTATTAATATTAGTTCATGATTTATTTAAAATATGAATAACCAATTCTGTTTGACTTCAAATTTTGTAGGTCTATTCTGACAAGAGACTGGATGATACTCTTTGCCTTCCTAGGACTAACACCACTTTCATTTTGTGGTCGAAAAATCGAATTTAAGATTATCTCAACTTTTCGAGTGTTATATGTCCATGAATTTTTTTGAAATATAACCACCAAAATCTATTTTATCTCAAATTTTGTGAGTTCATTCGTGACAACATAGTAAACAATAATGTAGAGTAACATCCTCAAAGTTTCGAAATCACAAAACACAAATTCAAGATTGTCACAACTTTTTAATGAACTAAAGATTTTACAGCATTTCAACGTCACGAAATAGAAATTCAATTTTTTTTTATATATTTCACGTGTCACGAAATAGAAATTTCAAAATTTTACATATTTCACGTGTCCTGATCTTCAGGAATGTGCATAATTGAATTCTAATACGAATACCAAACACCAGAACACCAAATGTGAACATTAAAATAACTAAGACTTAAATGAGCTTCAATAGAGTATCATAAACAAAGAAAATATCATATTATAATAATAATAATAAAAAATATAAGTTTACAATTGCCTCTTTGGCCTCAAGCATCAGATAATGCAACAAATGAATTTCTTAGTTGTGTAGAGTAACTAAGCAAATAGACAGAAAAATAATCCATAGTTTGATGGGAAGATATAAAGAGAGTACACTTAACATTGACTGCCTTTGGGAAGCAGGTAGGAATGTTTATCAGTTCCTGTATATCCACCCGAAAGCTGCGGACAACGCAGGAACTCACTCATCTGTAATGCATATCATCTCATCCGATAATACTGAGTTCTTGAAACGCGGCAGTGTTTACCATTTACAGAGTATTTGAGCATTATATCGACATCTCGAGGATTTTTCTTGTTAGGAGCCACAGTCATGCTTCCAACTACAGCTTCCCCGTGGCAAACAGTTATCACATCTTCCAGGTAGAGAACTGTTTGCTTCCAATGTGTGCTTCGAGATTTGGGCCCTGAATGTCATTAGTTTTCCATGGTCAGAAACGACGAAGCTATATGAGCTTGTTTATAATATTCTATTGCACAGATTGTTCAGGTATTTACGAGAACTCTTCTGAATCCTACGTACTCATCCCCCAAAAACGCAAGTAAAGAGAACTACAAGGTGACCAATCTAAGGACCAATAACACAGCAGAAACGAATAATATAAGGGAAAAAACTTCAAGGAAGGAGAATATTGTCAAAGGCTAATGTCAAAATTAAAAGCAAATGCAATGACAAAAATGCGGACCTGTTGAGAAGCCCAACAACTTGTGACACTTTGTGAAAGAGACATCGAAGTATGCTACAAGTGCATGGATGTAATCGTCACGTTCTGCAATGAGCTTAAATGGAGCTGTGAAGGAAGCATCCCCAGAAGTCATCTTCGAAATGTCCATCGTCTGAAGGGAAGCATTCATTATCAGTTAAGTAAAAGACAAATCACACATTGTACGGCTATTCAGTAAATCCCAAGGCAACTACATATAAACTTGACTTGATTACCTTCAGTAACTGGCAGTTGGTGACGATCTGATTCTGATCTACTGTGTCAACAATAGGTTCCATCATAGCTTGCTTTCGTATGCAGCTCATGTCGAAACCATACACACTATTCCAAACTGCAGTAGAATACGGAGGCCAAAATTAACAAAAGAGAAAAATGGAAACTGCTTGATGCCACTAAAAAATAAATTCGAAGTAAATTGCTGAAGAGAAAATACCGTACAATATCAAAATCCATAAAGTATAAAACATGGAGGAACAACAAACTTACATTCGATCTTATCTTCTTTGTAATCAGCATCTTCAATAGCTGTCAAATAAAGAGAAGCTTTATCCGGCAGAACAACACCATCCTTTACCTGCAATGGGAAAGAAAGAGGACAGGATTAGGAAAAAGCTCTTTCTTATCCATCAACCAAGCACGAAAACCTTCAAGACAAGTGAGCACAGGAAGCAAAGCCAGGCATTTGGCATAATTTTGCCGAGCTAATCTTTACCCAACCTGCAACATTTCCCGAAAACAATGATATGGAAATCCTCTGGGCAAACCAAACACCAACTACATGTACTCATTCACATTTTCTAAAGAAACCATATATTTATATTCGTCTTCCCAATAGCTGACTTAATTGATGAAAAGTTAGCACATTTCACAGCTGTGATAGGATATAAATCACCACAGAAGCACTCTATTAATATCAGCTAAACATAAATACATTCAACCAAACACACGCAGGCGTCAATCACACACTATTTTCTTTGCCTTTGTTGACTTGTTCCTTTTTCCAGATGAGATTAAGGGACTTAAGGTGGCAGGGAGGAGGATCAGCAAGAAGGTTTGATCACTGCAAGTGAATGTGATGATAGATGAAATATGTTTCACCAGTAGGAACAAAATGTCGGGGCAAAATCTAGATTAGCATTCAATGATAGAATGTAATCACGCCTTTTTTAAACCCGTGACCAAGCTTCAATAATAAGCATAGTCTAATCAATATAGAAGAGGTTGCGACAGTCACAGTCTCATAGCTTGGAAAAGGACAGGGGCCCTCTTCCTCATTCCACACATATTTCATTACTACCAACACTTCCTCCTGCTCAGACCTTTTACTTTGTGGCATCATTTCCGTTTCCCTTTTAAAGGGTCTAATCCAAAACATACAGTTGACCCATCAAGTATAATCAAAACGTATAGAAAAAAAATTTCAACCTCTCATCAACATCCAAAACTATTCACACAATTCCAGCAATAGATAGTCAAATTAGCTTCTTAATCTAATAAACAAGCTTAGGCGCCAAACAGGAAAACCAGAATTCGAAAGTGGTAGGAAAAAAAATGACTCCCATGCATTGAGAAGATAAATTAAGTAGGATATTTATCCATAGTTTGTACTGGGTAGCATCATTTATTGGAACAAATGGTAAACATACAATTGGATACAGTTTTCCACAGGTATCTCCTTTACAATTCGTAGTTCAACCTGCAATCAGTCTAAATTCATGGGTTGAGTCATTAAAACACTAAGCCAGCAGTTTTTGGTGCCCTTCATGGTGTCTTCCAATGACTATATACATTTTCTTTTATGGATAGTATCTATTGTAGTACACAATAATTCTCATCCATGAAAAGCACTCAAAATTTAATCTCTATGTGTCCGTGCTTTCTCTTCATCCATTGAACTACTCAAAACCTAATCCAACATTACATGCAGTGTCATTGCTTGCAC